CATATGATTGGGCCTTATAGTACCATTGAATATGGCATAGCCTTGTTTCCCAAAAGGTATTGTCATCCCGGCTAGATTGGATTGCAATTTTCATGTCGCCATGGTCTCATCAGAACCCCCAGCGGGACTACCTCGTATACACTTGAATCGTGATAGTGCAACCATACTGTCACGAGTGCCGTTGGGTCACAGGAGGAATGTGAATTGTAAGAAATCCTAATCTTTTTTGATATCATATTTTTTGTGGGATCGTCGACAAAGCAAAGTTATAATTGCAATAGGCTTTCTTGAAATTCACTACTGTCCTGGGAATCAAGAGGACTCGTGGGAGTGTGGGATAGTAGTTAATTTGTCAAGGTTATACGTTGCACCATCAGCATTCGAGTACCTCTGGTGGAGTTGATGAGACCTAGGCGAGGTCGAAACTGTAGTCCACTCTGGAGTGGAATTACTTCTGGGAAGCAAGGCTGTATGAAATTGAATCGAAACCTGAGGCCTATTCATATTAGTGTGTGAAAATTCATCTGCGTTATAATAAATAGGGTGAATACTACTCTTGTATCAAAATACATTTTTATGAATATAAGTTAGATAGTCGATTGTAATAGCAAAATACAAGTTTGCCTCCTCGACATCTCCACTTCACAATGTGATATGGATGAGGCGTGATGCTTGAAACTAACGTCTGCTCTGTAACCCAGAGACATACGTGGCAATGAAGAGTGGTGATAACGTATCAATATTATGTGTCGTAATATCACAATCTGGGTGTGAATCGCGCTGAATGTCCTATGAGAGGTCGAAATTACAGTCAACGCTGGATGGGATTACCTCCTTCGAAGCAAGGTTAAGCTAAATTCGGTAGGACGTGGTGTCCTGTAATCGCATTCTGAGAGCATCATACTATCGGTCCTTTGTCACCTACTCATGGGAGCTCTTATTTCAGATTTACCTGTTTTATGCCTAAATCAGACAGAGATAAAGGCAAAGATAAGTAAAGACTCTTTGGGCAAAAGAAATAGGAGCCAACGTTGAGCCAGAATGCTGGTGACGAAGTTGACACGAAAAGGGCTCTTCTTAGTTCTCCGCTAATCATCCGGAAAATGTATGATAAAGTAGATGTGATGAAAATTCTGCAGTTGCCCACTCACCCAAATGTATGCGCATTCTTCTGTTCCTCCTCTTTTTGTCGGCTGATAACTCTTTCGATAATTCTGCGTTCCTCGTCTGTGAGATGTGATAAATCCGGCTTGTCTGCGGAGGCGGTTGAGGCTGAGGCCCCCGGGGTCCTCATGACTCTGCTTTCCACCATTCCTGAGGGTTCGCGTGGATAGATTGAAGCCGTTGTCGTTAAGGGCGATGGTGGATAGGCGGAAAATTCCGAGCCAGGCCTATGCGACGAGCCAGTTGGCAGAAAGATAGGCTGAGAGTGCAGTGCTGGGCGGTAGGAGGCGGCTACAAAGTCGGCCGACTGAAAGTGGCCATCGTCTCCGGCCGGTGGGTATTGCAATCGCCCAGGCTGTGGATTGTAGGCCTGTTTGCGGTAGGCTGAAACAGACTGTTGGCCATAGCTGTATGGGTCTGGAGGATGAGTCTGGCGGCTCGGATTGGCCGGAAGGCCGGCCAGAGCTGGTGCGCCCTGTGGGTAGCCGACGTCGTGGCTTGTCGAACCAGCTATGCCCACTTCTCCTCCTTCGGTACCGAAAGTGGCCGGCCCACCTTGAACGGGTGCCAGGCCGGCGCCGGAATACATGTCTCAGTCGCCCAGAGGCACACACGCACAGGCGTGCACGCATGCGTGCACATGCACAGGAGTGAGTGCATGCGCACTGTGAAAGGTGTGCAGACGGACACGCATGCGTAAAAATGTGTAGGGTTTGTATGCGGGACACAGGGGCGAGTCTGTAAGGAACT